AGGTTGCTTCAACGATGCTATTTGTTTAGCTATAAAAGGAGCAGAAGAATAGAAGATCAACTAAGAGAATAACAATGCAAATACAACTGAAATATACACACATTCCACATCATTTGTATCAGCTCAAGAGAAACTAATCCTTTAAGAGTTCTTATTCTTGTATAGCTTAATAATTTTAAGTGTTAAAGTGTGTTGTATTATATTTGAACACCTTTGATTGTTAATCAAGTGTTGTTATAAGTTATTCCTTCTCTAAACTGTCAGTTTAGATAAAGTCTCTTCTGGTGTGCTTGAGCATTGAAGTCTTAGTTTTAAGGAATCTGAGCAAGGAAATCTTGGATTGTAGGTCTAAGAAAGGAAGTCTTGAATCTGAGGGGTTTAAGTAAGGAAGTATTGGATTCGTGGAATCTAAGCAAGTAAGACTTAGGTTGTAGGTTTGAGTAGGAAAAAGTCTTATACTTGAAGGTATAAGTAGTTGTAATCAGTTTGGTTATAGTGGAAATCTTTTGTCCTGCAAGGGGATTGGACTACTCATAGTTGGAGAGGAACCAGGATAACTTTTGTTCTTTGCCTATTTATTTGCTTTTGTTATTTTATCCGATGCAACTTCTTAATCAGATTCTGAACTTTTGTTTAGATTCCAAACTCTGATTCAGAAGTAAAAACAATTTGGCATACACAATTCAACCCCCTTCCTGTGTATTTTTTTCACCTGCATAGCATTCAAAAGTAGCTGGCAGATGTTCTGACTAAAGCAATCAAGACCGAACACTATCTTCAATTGAGAGATGAAGTTGGTGTTGTTGATTTTAGTTCTGAATGTGGATTAAGGGATGTTATTGAATTGTAATCCTAATTTAGTTAGCTTTTCATTTAAATGTCATTTAAGAGTTTAATTTGAGATGCATTTTAGTTTGACAGCTCAGTTTCTGAGTGTGTATAAATATTAAATTTCTGTTCAATTAGAGTAAGAGAATTAGTTGTAACAGAATTTGAATTTCAATAAAGAAGTTAGTTACAGATTTTTCTGCTCTCTCTCTCTCTCTCTCTCTCTCTCTCTCTCTCTTCTCTTCTATCATCTTCATCATCGGCAACCTTGGGCACCAATAGTTGCTGGAATTCGAACCCAGAACTTATAAATTATTTCACAACGGTTGTTTTCTTGTTATAAGTAACACGCTATCTAACTTATAACCACAATCATTCTCCCATTGAAAAAACTAATATATATATATATATATATATATATATATATATATATATATATATATATATATATATATATATATATATATATATATATATATATATATATATATATATATATATATATATATAATCACATGCTACCTAACAACGGACGTGACAACGGACGTGAATCCGTCATTATATGTATTTCACAACCATTATTATATGTTTTTTTTCGTACTAGTGACTTAGCAACATCATCAACATGGTAATAATTAAGGCGAACATCAACATGCTGCAAATATTCATTTGGATCTCCCTTATCGTCATTATTATTCAGCTTTAGAGTTTTTTGTAGTGATTTTGATATCCGGCTGTTAAAGATGCGAGTAGAAAGAAGATGTTTCTTGTTGTTTCTTACCAGAGGCATCTCCACTTATTCCTCAGGCGGAGCATGACTGCATCAACTTCAGCAGTGTGACGTCTTTCACAACATGTATGGCGTATGTGATTCTGGTGCAAGGTGTGTCTTATATGCTAAAAAAATCTAACGTAGAATAAATGCACTATAACGTGATTTCTTTTGATCTCATCATCGAATAGCTAGGTATACGGAGCAAAGGAAGAAAAAGAGAGAACTGAATTCTTAATGAAAGGAAGATAAGGTTGTTAGATAGTGACTGTTGAAATGCCTCCAACATTGTCAGTTTTCCGAATATAACGGTATGAGCAAATTTATAATCCACCAAAGCAGTACGCATTTATTCCATCTATCTGCGCATGCACCATATTTGACCTTTCGTTTTTGAAAAGTATTTGGCCTTTGGATAAAATAGTGCAAGAATATCATATTCGACAAAACTAAACAAAACTAAGTTAAAAAAGGAAAATGTGAAAACTGAAGAATCTCATATTTGGAATATGATACATTTTCCAAACCAACCCTCTCATATAATAATTTTGAGTCTTGGTTTAATATTTAAATTAGGTCTTAAAAATTTCACAATATTTTTTAAAAAGTAATATTTTATTTAAATTATAAGTAACATAAAAAGATATGAAGCAATCTTTTTATAATTTTTTTAAAAACTAACTCATACAAATATTAAATTTTTAAATTTTTTTATACTTACAAAGTTCTAATATTTATATAAAAACCCATCTCATTTGGTGAAAGAAAACAGTTCGTTGAATAATTTTGGTAAAGCTGATATCAATTTTTCTAATAAACAAAATAATTATCAAACAATATTGAATTTTCAATTTTTAAATATATTATTATAAAATAATATTAACATATACTTTTATAAAAATAAAAAATAAAAAATAGATAAACCCCAAATAATAATATATTATATCTCATCTTAAAAGTTAATAGTAAATGAGATGATCTTATGATACTTTAAATATTTAATTATAATTTGTAAATAACATCTAAAAATTTTATTTAAAAATTCAAAACTATTAAAAAAAAGGCGGATAGATAGTTTTTTTTTTTTACTTATAAATCGTTAATAATTTAGCAGAAATTAAAATTAGCGTCCAATAAACTTTAATATGTCTTTAATGTCATCTTATTCTTTTGGACATCTACTGGATGTTGATCAATGTTCTGCTAGTAATATGCTACACTATGATCTATTCTAGAGATCTCACAGGAAGAGATGACAAAGAGTTCTACGTTTCCTCTCAAATATTTAACTAATTACACGTTTACTTGAGTAGGTAAGTCGGCTCATATTCTTGTTGTAAATTATTAAGAATTAATAATCTTGAATGTGTTTTAAAATGACAAGAAAACATGCAAATGAAGATTAATTTTTAATGTTTGGAAATAATCCAACTTTTGGTTAAAAGGTGTTGTTTCATCAAGGGTCGCAACCTTATGAAACAACACATATATGACCTATAAATACATCATTTCAGAATTTAGAAAATACATCACAAACCAAATATTCTCTTGTACAAAATTTCAGACAATCTTCGCTACATAATCGAGTTTCTGTCGGTCTTGCGCAATTTTGATATAAGACTGACTTATCCTAAGTATTACTGCGTTCCAACTCTAAGATAATTCGAGAGTGTTTGAAATACTTTTAAGGAAAGTGATTTCGTTCACGATTTTAACCTTGATCCATTCAGTTTAAAGTAGTTTTCTAACAATCCTTTTCAACCTCATCGGATAATCGTCTAGTTGGACGACATTAGAGACTTCATTCATAACCGGTCTTAGGACCTTTACCTTGATATCGACTAAGAAGCATAACTCGTCTCTCAGTCAAGGTTCATATTCGTGAACATCTATGTCAACTAGATTTGACACTTCACCTACATCATTGATTGTCCCTTCGAGAACAACGATTGTCGTCAAAGAATTCTTCAATATTGCTTCTTTTATCTGGTGTGCTGCGCAATGGTCAACTTTGACTATAACAAGTTTGTTGTAATTATTATGGTACTTTATCTTTAGATGGATGGGAGAAACCACGACATCTAAAGCCTCCAAGAATGATTAGTTGATGATGCCTTCATAGACATTTTTGCATGTAGCCACTAAGAAACGAACCTCCATTGTCCTTTTATTATTTCCTTCTCCCAATGAGACTTATAAGTACACCTGTCCACACAATGAGTGGAAGAAACATTTAACGTCAAGAGTCGTTGGTCTTCATACAACCTCATATCTTGTTCCTTCAAGCCAAGTTATGTAAAATATTTAATGTATATCTGACTGTAGGAACTTCCAACACTTACAAGGATCCCTAAGATAGAATGATTAGTGATGGTAACGACAATTGTTAGTGAAAGATTAGCATTTGAAATTCTATCCACCTTCTCATGATCATGAAACTCTAGGATTAGTAAGTTGTCTTCTTACTTCTTGATTAGTGGAGGAGAACCTACTTTTCTGAGCAAATCTTCACCAATCTTGTTTATGGTGAAGGTTGGCGAAAAAATTGATCTGGAGAATTTTGAAGGATATTTAGAGGGATATTCAAAGTTGCTTCCATCTTAGTGTTTTAGTCAAAGTGTTTGAGATTTGAATTGGAAGACGTTTAATTGAACTAGGAGAAATCTAATCATATATATATTAGAGATCTGATTTTGAAATTTTGTAGGAATCAGAAATCAATACCATAAATGACCTCATTTTTTTCTCATTGAAATAGAGTAGTTGGTGCAGATCTTTGATGTGATGGTGCGAGTTGTTGCGAGTGAATAAACCTGCAAAATTAACACTCCAACGTCTAGATTAGTTTTTTTAATAAAAAAATAGAATAAATTATAAATCAAAAATCATACATTTTACTATTGACTATTTAAGCAATGGGCGAGTATTCGGCCTCTTTGCTGCTTGGCTGTGGTAGGCACTGTAGAAGTGCTATGGGCCGAAATACATGTTATGTTATTTGATAACGCAGTTCTTTTCAACTTGATGATGGTTTTGCCATTAAAAGAACTCTGTCTACAAGTTATTTTTAATTTGAGACCAAGTTAATAGAAAACTATTTTTTTAAGCCGTACCAAAGAGTTGTTTTGATACTGTCCAAAAGAAAAAGAAATTTTCTTGATTTTTTTCCATAGATAAAGAATCCTTTGTTGACTAGTAGCAGAAAGTAGATTTAATTTAATCCCTTAACGATTTACTAAAGCGACTCAAATATTCTTACTTTCTCATTTTTTTATTTCTCAAGAAGGCCTAATTTATTCCATTCAAACCATTATATAAAGCATGCCACATTTTGGTTATCTCAACAACACATCTCATACAAAAATTTCAATTAAAACTATACACATTCCTCAACATTTGTATGACAATGGAGAGAGTAACAAAGATGGTTTCAGAGAGGCCAGTGGTGATATTCAGCAAGAGTTCATGTTGCATGAGTCACACCATAAAGACACTTTTTTGTGACTTTGGTGTGAATCCAGCCGTTTATGAACTTGATGAGATATCAAGAGGAAGAGAGATTGAACAAGCACTTTCAAGACACGGTTGTTCTCCATCTGTTCCAACTGTTTTCATTGGTGGTGAACTTGTTGGTGGAGCAAACCAAGTAATGAGTCTTCATCTTAACCGCACTTTGATTCCAATGCTTAGAAAAGCTGGAGCTCTTTGGGTTTAGTCTCATCAACTCATCATTCACTCAATAAATTAATCTGTTTGATTTATATATTTTGAGATTAGATATATAGAGAGGCAGAATATAGATACGATGAGTTTAACATTATAGATTTTGGATGCCCCTGCACTGCATGGGAATCAAGTCTTCCGTTTAGCTTTTTTTTTAGGTTAAATGTAATGTTTTTGATATATGTTATATTTTGATGAATACCATAACTAATAATCTATATGGATGGATCATAGATGAGTTATAATTTTGTACTAAAGTTTTTATGAGATACAATTAGTTTACTAACATATTAGAATTTGATGCATTAATCTAATAACTTGTTCATTTGACGAGTTGAGGGACACCCAAGGAATATTAACAAAACATATAGAGTGCAAGCGGTGTTTTAAATAATTGTAATAAATAAAAAACATAGATAAACAAAAACAAAGATAAAGCAAGACAAGTAAAACAAAACTGAATCCATTGCAATCACAAAATGCATATATTCACACATTCTAGTTATTATTGACTGTTGGATCAAAATTGATTGATTCACTTTTGTTTTTTAATTTTAAATATCAATCTTACATCTTTATCATCTGATTTTGAATCACAGAAAATCAGTCCAAGAAAACCTTTTATAGAAATGAATGCAAGTCTAACAAAAATACAAAGTTATATGTGATTTTGATGATGACAAAAGCGTAAAGTTAATCATAATCATTATCAACATGATAAATAGAAATTATCAAAAAATGAAGGTGATTACATTTTAGTGTTAGAGTAAAATTAAATCAAATACAAAGATCAACATAAAAAAATTGTCAAAGTTCGTTTGGTCCCATGCTTCATTGTTTTATCTATTTTTTGATTAGTAGTGTGTAAATAAGAAAGGCTATTTCTTGGAAACTAAGAAAATGTACAGTTCAGACTATTATTTTATTCTGTTGTTTAATCATTTTGAGATATAATTGTAACTTCATTGCATAGTTCTCTTGTTTCCTTATAATTGATAATGAGGTTGCAAGTTAGACCTCTGAAAATATTTTGTGTAATGAAAGTTGGGATGATGTTGATCTAAAAGATAAAGTTGTTTAGTGAAAATTTTAACAAAAAATTTTTAAAAACTGTATTAGGTCGTGTGATTTAAGGATTAATCAATATAAATTTTAGTGTGCTCTTTCTATGTTTTTTTTTTTTTACTTTTCCATATTGCTTAATTTTTTCTTCTTATTATTTCTTAAAATCAATCATTTGCAAAAAAAAATATATTTAAAAAAATCAAATAACAAAATCCACGTCTCCCTCTTATTTTTAATGTGGCTGGTTTAACAAATTTTACAAAATCAATTTTTAAAGTGAGCAATTTTCACTTATAGGCATATCTTCATGTTATATACTTTTTCCGTCTCACAATGAATGATCTATTTAAAATAAAAGAGTGTCTCAAAATAAATAAATTATTTTAATTTCTAATGCATATTTTTCAATTTTATTCTCTAATTAATATTACTTTCATCATTCTCAATACATGATAAGAGTATTTTAGTAAAAATATTATTTTCTCTCTTTCAATTATTCATTTTTCTTAATATGTGTAAAATGATCAACCAAGTCATCTATTATGGACAAAAGAAATATTGTCTGATGTGAGATTATACTTGTTCAAATCAGTTATTATACTTGTTCAAATATTTTTTTTTTGATAAGCAAAAATATATTAAAGAGATTAAGAAAATCTCTGAACAACAAGATTACAAACAGAACCTAATACAAGACAGTTACATAAAATCGAACGGAAATTTAAATCAATAGTACAAACTACAATTCTTACTATCCTGTCTACCTAATATCAACCAATTCCACGAGAAAACTTTAATATCGGATACAATGTCATCAATGTCAATAGAAGCATTACTGAAAATAGTGTTATTTCTAACCCTCCATAAACTCCAACAAGAAATGAACCAAATAGAGTTGATCTTGTTCTCTTTGCAGCGACCCAGAAGTCTCGATTTCCAGACCTTCGCATGAATACTACAGCAATCCTCCGAAATGTACTCTATATCCACCCACTCGCAAATCCTATTTCACACCAACGAAGATTTAGAGCACGAGAAGAAAAGATGTTAAACGTCCTCAAAACTTGACGAACAGAACACACAATCCGAGTTTTGAGAATAGTCAATCACCCTTCTTTTCATCAAATTGGATTTGGTAGGCAGCCTATCAAGTGCCAACCTCCAAATAAAAGTTTGGACTTTTGGCGGTAACACCGTTTTCCAAAGGATCTCCAGAAGAGCAGCACAATCATTTCCAATAATATGAACAGAAGTAGATGAGGAAGAGGGTAAAGCAGCATAGAAAGATCTAACATTATACGAAAGAGAATCATGAAGTAACCAATTCCAATTATCGCCGATATTGATGTTGGCTGCCTTCTGATCCAACAAAACACTGCATTCCGCTCAGTCTGGTACAAAATTGGAACCGTCATCTATCAACATTCTCTAACTTTCCAAACCCAATGATCATCCTCCCAAGAACACATCTCGTTGACTGTCGAAGTTTTCCTGGTACAGGCCTGAAACAGCCGCTGAAACCTACTTTTAAGCGGAAGATCTCCAATCCAATTTGATTGCCAAAACGCCGTGTTGTGACCTTCTCCAATAGTGCAAGTCGTAAACTTGCAGAAGTCCACATTGATGTCGCAGGTTGAACTTGACATAATATCCTTCATCCAAAGAGAATCTATCTTCAAGTTACCGACGTCGGCAAAAGTTTGCACCTTCATACTCAAGTTACCGTATCTGAGATTCAACGATTTTCTCCAAATTAATATTATTACATCTTCTAATTTAGCAGAGTGGCGAATTGTTTGTTTAGGTATTATAAGTTTGTGGATTCGAATTCTAGCTACTTAATTTTTATATTTCCTCATTTTATGTATTTTTTTATTTTTTTATTAATAAAAAAAGCTACCACAACAAGGAATCTGTTTTTGAAATATTTAGAAGGACACAAAATCAACTTAATCAAAATTTTCCTTTATTTTTATATAATATTTATATAAATTATTAATAAAACAGTTGTATTGTTTAATTTTATTTGATAATAATATTTTAAATTTTTAAACTAAAGTATTATTAAAAAATTAAAGTTATTAGATTTAAAAGATTTTTGAACCAATTTTAGCCTATCTTTTTTATAAGTTTGTTTTCATGATTTTAGAATCCATAACACAATGTTTTAAAATTTTAAGGGTTATATGTAAAAAAAAAAAATTAAATTTAAATTTGAAAATAACTATATTTATGTACCATCGTGAATGGACACATTAACAAATTTGGCGTAATATTTGTTAGAACTTGAAAAATCAAGTTATATTCATATATTTTGTAACTTCACATTGTTGGTTTTTTTTTTTTTCATTCAAACACTTCGTTATTAACATCCTTGAAATTGTTTAAAAAATTATTTTTTTCAACAAAATGGTATAAATTTATCTATAAATCGAAAATGGTAAGAGTAGAAAAATGAAAAAACTAAACTTTTAATGAGTAAATTTTGAGCACAATATTTCTTTATTTTGTTGTATTTTAAAAAAGAACAGTGCCTTCAAATTGTCTCCAGATGTTTATGTATTTTTTTCAAGAATTTTTATTTTTATTAACTAATGGTGATCTTTGGCAACACATACATTTCGCTATAGTATCAATCAATAACATCAAATGGTTTTCAATTTCGGCAAAGTTAATTTTTAAACTAAACTCTAATACCATCTTAAAGTTGTGGTTAGATAAAATACAACTCTACAAAATTAACTTATTAAGTAATAATTGTTATTACTTATAAACACACATTTAAATTATATATTATCTAATGTGATACTTTTTACTATATGATATAAATTTTCAATTCAAGTATAAATTATGTAAGATTTGTTGTGAAAACATAAATAAACAATTTAATTGTTATAACGGGTTATTGTGTTCTTTTAACCAAATACATGATGTAATATTTTTGGTCTTTGAAACGGGTGTAAGCGATTATTGCATTTTGATAATTAATTACCACTAAGTTGAAATTGTATTTAGAAACAATTGTAACTAGTAACAGGTTTGACGTAACCGATTACACATAGTTGGTTTCATTTTTTTTAGTTTTGATTACTTGTGTCATAATCCATTGTATTTGTATATATACATTTGATGTATCGTTGTTATGAATGTTGAATGAATTTTCATTCTCACCCTTAATTATACTCTCTTTAATTCTCTCTCTCCCTTTCCACACTCAATTACTCCATTTTTACCTACCTTGTGTTTCCCTCTTCTAACATTTAGCATCAAGAGCCTAGTTCAATCCACCGAAGCAAGCATGATAAATCTTGGAGAAGACATATGTAGGGACTGACAAGGAGAAGGTTGTGAGGTTACAAACTCGCAAAAGACATTTTGAGTTGATCATTCAAATGAAGGAGAATGAAATCATCAACTATTTCACGAAGAGAATTACTTGGTTGGTAAATCAAGTAAAGGCATATGGAGAAATTATTACAGAACAATATATTGTCACAAAATATTGCATTCTTTGACGGAAAGATTCAATAACATTAATGTGGAGTTTAAGTAATTGAAGGCTCTTACGACCATGATCATGGAGGAGCTTAAAAGCTCTCTTGAGTCACATGAACAAAGGATGGAGGAGAGAAATTTTGATAGGTCAAAGGCGGAGATCGCTTTGCAAGATCGTTTCAAGGAGAAAGACAAGAAATCGAAGGGAAAATGGTCCGTGAAGAGTAAAGGGAATTTTTCATAAAGAGAATCTAGAAATTCCAAGATTTCAGCTTGTCAAAATGGTGAGAGAAGTTGCAACAAAAATTATGGTCAAGGCAACTTTAGAGGTGAAAGGAGAAAGATGGATAAAAGCAAGATGAAATGCTTTGTTTTACAAAAGTTCGATCATTTTGCAAGAGTGCAATGCGAACAAGAAGGAACCTCAAGTGG